CTCGTAATCCCCGTGCCGCTGGTTTATTAGGTGCTGTGAATGTTCATGACTCTGTGGACCCCTACTTTTAAGATGCTATTGTGCACTTTTTTTTTTTTTAACTGTATGAGCGAGCACCGATGAGTGGACTTCCACCAATATTTATATGTCATTCCCTGGCCAAACGGTTTGCCAGAGTTATTGGTATAACATTAGGGAAAAGGTGAGGAAGTTCATTTTATTTTATTCTAAATTGCTTAGGAAGAATCTAAAGCTATCTGTATGCATCAAAGCCGTCATAAAGAGCAAATTACTCCCTTTTCCATCCCCTCCTACATCCTCGGATCCTCCTTCCCCTCCCCAATCCCTCTTTCTCCTCCTTTATAAATTAAAGTATTTCTCTACGGTTGCTTATTCTCAGTGAAGGAGGTGAAACAAGTGCTTAGCATCTCAGCACTAAATTTAATGCTCCAACAATCAGGGCGTACTTCAAACATAATAGTGCCCGAAATGGCTTATCGGCTTATTGTGACACCATCAGCAACGTTCACGTCCTGGGCCACAGTGTGACATGGGGACAAGTCTTATTCTTTTTCAATGCATGCTTTTACTTCTGCCACTTACAAGTGACATTTGCAAATGTGCTGTCTTATGGGAAGGGATCTCCGTGTCTTCATTCTGCATCAGGTAGATGAGAAAGCAGGTGTCACACTGGTTGCTAGGTGGTTTTTTTAACCTGAACCCATCTAATGACAGTTAATAAATATTATTTGGCATTGTTACCAACAATAAATTGCCATATCAAATATTAATATTAATTGACTTTTATAGGAAGAACTAGATTTGATTCTCTCAATATATTCCCAGATCTAGAAAATTAAAGAGTTAATAATTCAGAATTTCTCAGTATAGTTACTTCAATTTGATAAAATAGCATAAAGGCAAGAATTTAGTATATGCATTAACTTTTCAAATTCTTCCCTACCGAATGATTATACAAATAGTACATAAGGTGACCAATATCAGATTGACGCTCACCATAGGACTTTTTTGAGAACCACCAGGGGGCGCTAGGTGCAAATGATATAAAATGTTAAAAAAGTTGTCATGGTGAATTTACAGGAGAAAGTTAATTATCTGTCCATTTACAGACTATCTTCTTTTGGTTGTCCTTGTCCCTTTTAGCGTTTTGCTTACAATACTAAAAGTTAATTCTTACAATTTTAAAAGTTAATTCTAATTCACCTTTTTAAGTAAGATTTTTGTAAAAAAAAAAAAAAAAAAAAAAAAAAATTCTAGTTCCCTAAAATCATGAAAATTCCGGAGGGACTCAGGAGATTTCCACAATACTTTAGTTTATGGCATTTATGATAAAGCACATATAGACACAGAAGATAAAGCACATTATAGACACAGAAGAAAGAAGAATAAAAGCCAGGGCTTCCTACCTAATTGTGCTTTTCCCTTGAAGCGATTCAATCCGCTTCAGCATCCTCTCTGGGAGTGGTGTGTCAGCGTGCTGCTCTGAACACCTGGCACCTCGGCTATTGTCACATCTCCATGACAACGACTTACCTGGCTTGGTGAGAACCTGAAGGGAAAGAACTGAACCCTTCTTAGTGAAGTTCTAGCCCAGTGGACACAGCACACCCTCCTCCCCTACCGTCTATGCACTTTAGCTCCTTAATTATGAAAGGCTAACGTGTGAGTCTGGACATCCACAACAAGCTTCTATGCCACCAGAGAAAAGATCCTGCTCAACAGTGTTGCCTGTTTCCCTCTGACCTGGAGCAGAAGAGCTAGAAGATCCTTGGTGACTGCTGGGGTCAGCTTACTGTCGCCTGTCTAGGTATCCATTAGACAAGTTGGTTCTGAAATAACTAATTGTAGCCATACATTTTGTTTAAAGAGGCACATGACTCAAACTATTATTGCAAATTGTTCTTGGTGGCTGAAGTAATTACAAAATAGCAAAGAGAACAAAGCTGGATGTGTCACACTACCTGACTTCAAACTATGCTACAAGGCTACAGTAACCAAAATGGCATGGTACTGGTACCAAAACAGATATATAGATCAATAGAACAGAACAGAGACCTCAGAAATAACACCACACATCTACAACCACCTGATCTTTGACACATCTGACAAAAACAGGCAATGGGGAAAGGATTCCCTATTTAATAAATGGTGCTGCGAAAACTGGCTAGCCATATGAAGAAAACCGAAACTGGACCCTTCCTTACATCGTACACAGAAACTAACTCAAGATGGATTAAAGATTTAAATGTGAGACCTAAAACCAAGAGCAATTGCAACAAAAGCCACAACTGACAAATAAGATCTAATTAAACTAAAGAGCTTCTGCACAGCAAAAGAAACTGTTATCAGATTGAACAGGCAACCTACAGAACCAGAGGAAATGTTTGTAATTTATCCATCTGACAATGGGCTAATATCCAGAATCTACAAGAAACTTAAACAAATTTAGAAGAAAAACACAAACAACCCCATCAAAAAATGGGTGAAATATATAAACAGATAATTTTCAAAAGAAGACATTTATGCAGCCAACAAACATAAGAAAAAAAGCTCATCATCACGGGTCATTAGAGAAATGCAAATCAAAATAACAATGAGATACCATCTCACACCATTTAGAATGGCGATCATTAAAAAGTCAGGAAACAACAGATGCTGGAGAGGATGTGGAGAAATAGGAACACTTTTACACAGTTGGTGGGAGTGTAAATTAATTCAACCATTGTAGAAGACAGTGTGGTGATTCCTCAAGGAACTAGAATGAGAATTACCATTTGACCCAGCAATCCCATTACTGGGTATATACCCAGAGAATTATAAATCATTCTGCTGTAAAGACACATTCACACGTATGTTTATTACAGCACTGTTCACAATAGCAAAGACTTGGAACCAACCCAAATACCCATCAATGATAGACTGAATAAAGAAAATGTGGCACATATACACCATGGAATTCCATGTAGCCATAAAAAAGAATGAGTTCTTGTCCTTTGCAGGGACATGGATGAAGCTGGAAACCATCATTCTCAGCAAACTAACACAGGAACAAAAAACCAAACACCACATATTCTCACCAAGTGGGAGTTGAACATTGAGAACATATAGACACAGGGAAAGGAACATCACCCACTGGGGCCTGTTGGGGGGTGAGGGGCAAGGGGAGGGATAGCATTAGGAGAAATACCTAATGTAGATGACGGGTTGATGGTTGCAGCAAACCGCCATGGTACGTGTATACCTATGTAACAAATCTGCACGTTCTGCACATGTATCCCAGAACTTAAAGTATAATAAACAAAATCAGTGGTCACATGCTCACTAGTGAACATAATAACAGTGCAGAGAATATAAAATAGAATTGTGCTAGTTTCTCTTCCTACCACCCTCTACCTTATTATTTACCTTCTGCATTTTGTCCAGATGATCTACAAGAATTTACTTATCACCCTGTGTTCCTTACAGGCTACATTGTTTTTTTCTTTTAAAAGGTCACTTTGGCTTCAGAGCTTACAATGTACTTTGAAAGCTCATTATATTATGAACTTTGCCTCATGTGGTGAAATAATCTTTTAGATTTCATTCTTTTAGAGTATATTTTTTACGAGTTTTAAGGTATTCCTTTCTATGACTTTACTGTAATGTAGTTACCAATTATCTGTTGTTTATTCTTGTTTAAAATTTTGCCTCATTACAAATAATGCTTCCATGAAAATATTTACATAAACCTTTTAAAATTCATCTGAGATTATTTCCTCAGAGTGATTTCCTAGGTCGAAGGCTTTTGCAACTCATTGCCAAAGCAGACTTTAGGAAGGTAGTGTCGTTTTTCTTTCCTGACATCAGCAGTGTTTGAAAGAGGTGGCTGGTGGTGGACTGATTTTTTGTTAATGCGATTGATTTCTATTTAGAAGGCAATATATCTCCTGCCACCTGCCCCACCCTTCTCTCTGTTTTCTGGATTCTCCTTTCCTGCTATCCTCTTAGGGTGCTCATGAACATTCCTTTGCTTTTGGACAGTTACAGGCTCAGTCTTTGAGTCTGGAGCAAGTTGCAGTCAGGTGCCATCTAAGCAGCCAACTGTGGAAAGAGCGGGAAGTGTGGAGCCTATGGGAGATGGTCCTGTCGGGTGGGCAAGGTGTGGAGCTCTGGCCGTCTCCCACAGCCTTTTGGAATTGAGCTCTCCCAAGACAGTCGGGACCTCACGGGAGCCTTGCAGGACTTCTTGGAGTTCAGTTTGCCTGAACGTTGAGGTTATGAACCTACCACTTGTATATATGAGTTTTTAGATAGGACAAACTTTTCTTCTTGCAAGATTATTGTGTTTGAAGTCTTTCGAATATGTCTTTCCCATCTATGGAAAAAATACTGTATTAATAAAGACACCAATCCCTGTGAAAATAATTAAAATACATAAATTTACAGTGAAATTAATTATATTAAAAACATTGCAATGCTCAAAGCTCATCATTTCATAATTATTTCACTATATTTGATAATAATCTAGGCTCTTGAGACCACTGGCCTCTTTTGCATCTGTATGGCAGAAATCCTACACAGTGGGGGCTGCTGCGTATCTCTGCACACTGCATATTCAGTGATGGCACAGCAGTCATTGAAATCAGCCATGGGGGGAAGATTTACACCAGGGAAATTGGCAAATGCCAAAATCCAGGTCATTCTTCTCCAGACAGCAGGTTGTTGAATGCTTATTAGCACAGCATTGTGTTTATGTAAAAGTGGCTTATCAGTAGTTATTTTGCATGGTAAATATTATATGAGCCCCCAATAAAGGACAAGCATTGTCTCTCTCCAAAATAAAGGTCGTAAGAATATGGCTTATTTCATCTGAGAATAATTTGATTTTTTAAAGAGTAATCACCTTTTTATACACGATAAAATGTGCTGACCTGCCACTGTCTGGAACAAGCCATCCTGCCTTCTGTCATCCTTCCCCTGCTTCAGCTACAGTGGTAGGAGCTGGTGGGAGGTGAGGAGCATGCCCCTGAGTGGCTGGGATGGCAGATGACAGCTGTTAACATCCCTGCATCACGCTGGCCTTTCCCCTCTGTCCAGAGACCCAGGCATAAGAGAGGCAGAAGTCTCACTGCTGGGAGAGTGGGCTGGGGAAACGCAAAGCAAACAGGTGTGCACGTTTCACTTCTGTGTTTGTGAGGGGCTCAAATCCAGACTGGAATCTACATACCTGTGCCAGACATGCCGCTTCCTGCTGTGCTCTCCCTTTTCTATCATTGGATGCAATGTCACCAGATTCTTTGACTTCCTCATTTTCCTAATTAAATTTTAAATAATTCCAGTGTCTTTTACCTATGAGACCACAAGTTACTGACTTTGCTATAAATCTCAATGGTTACTTGTCAAGTTGTCTGCCGGAACATGCTGTGCCCCTCAGCCAGCTACCCTCAGAGTACCTGTCCACAGCTGTGTGCACACTTGCCATCCATCCTGGCCTCCTTCACTTCTCTCAAGCCCAAACGCCGGCCTTTCAGACTTCCCACTAGCTGCTACCAGTCTCTCTTTCTCTGTAACCACCCAATTTCCTGCCAGGATGGGACAGAATTGGGTGGACAAGTATCTGCATTGGAAGAGTTTTAGTTATAAGGAAAACTTTCTTTTTCCAGAAAAATATGATTAACCAAGTACTGTTCACTTCTAACCAAATGCCCCTTGTGCAGGATGCTATTTTATATTATCCTATTATTCCAAAAAACCTGTCCAACTCAGGCCAAAGCATAGAAGGGCCCTGATTATGAAGCACCTGACAGAAGAGTCTCCTAACAGCATATGTTGGTGATAAAGGGGAAGAAACGGAACATGAAAACCAGGGTCTTAAACTAGTAAGAGGAAGCTGCACTTTTGAGTGTTTGAGGACCGACCTCCTCATCATTGTGCTAGAGAGAGATCAGCTCTGGCGCCTGACTCTGACCCTTTTCAAAGACATCTCAGCATAAGTTTGGAGAAAGGGTTGGCATCATGCTGAGCTGTTATTTTCTCGGATTAGAAAAATGCAGGCCAGGGTGCAGGCCCTCTGCGAACATGTGGAAGCCCAGTGCTCGCCTACAGTTGGAGGCACACATACCAACGCATAAGTATTTAATAGGTGTGAAACAAGCTAACAAATCATTAACAAAAAAGTATTTTCATAAAGTTACCTTCACATAACCTAAAAGCCCAGGTCTAAGTTGAGAAGGTGGCACGCAGCAACATCTGGCCGGGGCAGGCACTACTCCTTCTCCTCCCATCCAAGTTCTGGCCTGTCTAGGACAGAAACACCCTCCCCCTGAACTGTGGAGAGCAGAGATGATATTGTTATGGTGGTAATGAGAGAACAAATCCTACTTGTAACCACGAAAACTCAATGACCATTTTCGAGAAGGAGAGAAACCTCCTTGGAGAAGACAACTACGAAATTTACAGAAAAGCAGCCCAGGACCACTGCCCAGGATGCTGGTGGAGCTTCAGGGTGTCCCTCTGTTTTCTGCTGAGAAGGTGGTGACCCAGTGAACACCGAATGCTTTCCTGGAAAGATCGCCTCTGACTACAGCCCTGCAGAGGGTCTGACTACAGACCCCTACATGGGTCCCCTGAAATTTGATAGCTCCTTGGGATTTTCTTTACTTTTTTAAAAGAAATAACTTCCTTGAATATGATTGAGACCAGCATACGCTACCTTTCAGTGGGAAGATGAACGTGGTGCATGTCTTCAGAAGGAACTTCCTTGAATATGATTGAGACCAGCATACGCTACCTTTCAGTGGGAAGATAAACGTGGTGCATGTCTTCAGAAGGGCTCAATGTGAAACCTGATCAAGTCCCAAGAACCCAGCCCAATGGCAGGGTCACCAACGGTTTTTATCAGGAACAAATGCACACGCGACCATTTCCAAATGTCAACATTTGGCAGACCTGGACCGTGTGTGCATCTTGCCTTTTCTCTTCTGTGTTCCATGATATCATGAATAAACATTTTAGGCAATTAGCAGAAAAGTGTGCCTATCATATTTTTATTTTTAACTGCTTTTTGAAAAATTCTGGGTGTGTTCAAGGTAAAATTTCTTATCAGCTCAGTGAGAAACAGAAATAACGTGACTGAAGGTATGTTTGAAAACTATAAAATGATTGTATTTGATAGTTATTAGTACAATTTATGAAATGCAATCCTAAAAGTTCGGTTTTGGTTTTATTTGATCAATAATTTATTTTCCATTTTAAGTGTCGTAGGATTTCCTGGCTTGGGAATAGCACATTATGGGGACTTTGTGACCATTTTTTTCTTGAAACTGTGATGTTCCGTATTCCACACTTTGAATTCAGTATGGGTAGGTGTTGCATTTTTCTTCGGCATTTTTGACTGGGTGGAAAGATCATGTGGTAAAATAATATTCTATCTTAAGACTTCCTGATTCTTCTCGGAATCCTGAAATGACTCAGCCTCTCCTCACTCTTTTGATTCCAGAATATGACCTGGTCTCTGCCTACGAGGTTGACCACAGGGGCGATTACGTGTCCCACGAAATCATGCACCATCAACGGCGGCGAAGAGCAGTGACCACGTCAGGGGTTGAGTCTCTTCACCTTCGGCTGAAAGGCTCCAGGCATGACTTCCACATGGATTTGAGGACTTCCAGCAGCCTGGTGGCTCCCGGCTTTATTGTGCAGACGTTGGGAAAGACAGGCACTAAGTCTGTGCAGACTTTACCGCCAGAGGACTTCTGTTTCTATCAAGGCTCTTTGCGATCCCACAGAAACTCGTCAGTGGCCCTTTCAACCTGCCAAGGCTTGGTGAGTACAGCGCGAGTCCCAGCTAGGGAGGCGAGGTTGGTGATGGTGGAAAGGAGAGGGTAACCAGGACTTTCCCTCGAGTTCACGTAGATGCTCTTCTTCTACTGCAGCACAGATTAAGCAGGAGGAATATTGCCAAGTAAAACTTTCCAAAAAACATTGTGTGCCTCCTCTGGCCTATTTGGAAACAGTGCGCACACCCACCCTGCTGCTGCTGTTCTAGAATTATTGTGGAAGAGCACTTCAGTTTGAAAATTGTGTATAAGAACCTCTGGCCAAATCTGAATTCTTTAGCTTCTTAGGGGATGTTTTTACTCCAACTTACAGCTTCTAACTGACAGAAACTGGAGAAATGTCTTCATTTGGAATGGAACAACAGTATTCAAGAGATTGGCCGTGAGGATTATTTGATCAGATATTTGAAAGACTTTGAATACTGTACATCTGTCATTCTGATGATGATAATCTGCTTACACATTAGGGCATTCATCCATGGCAGGGCGTTGCTGGTCTTCCTGGACTGATGAATCCAGGGTGCATTCCCCGTGTCCTGCATATCGGGTTTGGAATGGCACATCACTTCGATGCTTCTGGTGCTGCGATTTACAGGGACCCTAGAGAGGGGGGCATCTGGCTGAGCTAAGAATCTACCTGCATCCCTCAGGCCTACCCAAGTCAAAATCTCACTGGCTTGCTTTTTACTTTTCTTAAAATATTTTCATATATTTAGGGAGAAAAATCTTAGGAGATTCTTAGATTCTTGGCAACAAATGAATTGCTCAGGTGCAGAGGAGCGAAGTGTGACTTACACAGCAGAGTGAAAATGTGTTCAAGGTTCAAGGTCTTGAGGATGTTAAAGGTTTGGCTAACAGGTCTGGGACATTTATTGCTTTTCTAGAAAAAGCTTTCAGTGTGCTTAAATTTCCTTCCCTCTTTGAGGAGAGGGAATTCAGACCCCACATCTCATAAAAGATTTTGTGTGTGTGAATTTTGGATGCTGAATTCATAACCAATTCCTTAAAATACTAAATATATGTAAATGCTAAATCCTGTAAAAAAATTTTTTTAAATGTTAACATTCTGCTTTTTAGGGAAATTTGATATGAGTTGATCTCATTGCTATTTCACTCATAAGAAACTTTTGGGTTGAGTTGCTAGGGATAGGGTGGTGGTTATTTGGCGCTCTTGTTAAGCATGAAGACAATGGGACTGATTTCTTTCACACTCTCCCAAGAAAAATAAGTCTTCCTTAACGGACTAGAACTCTTCATGAAATGCACAAAATGAAGATACATCTTCCTTGGTTTTCTTTCACAAGGGCTTAAGCCAGAAATGGAAGCCATCTGTGTGGCAACGAGGTGTGCCGTGCCCTTTACCCTTGGGTAATTTTGGATTTGGTTGTGGAAATTGGTGAGATACTTCTTGCTAACCCAGCAGGGATGCAAGCTTCCTGAGACCCCTGGATCTCCCTGAGCCAGGGTGGCTGAGCTGTGCCCTGGAGTCTGTTCCCTGAATCGAGGTGCTTTGCAATAGCTTGAGATTTCTGGTGCTTTTTGAGCTTGATCAGAGTTAACAGGAAAAGTTAACAGTAAAGTAAGTGTATAATGATAATGAAAGATAAAGAAATTATAAATAACAGAAAAAAATGCTTCTCTGGATAATAAATAGTGGTATCTGATACTATAGCTGCTGGAAGAGAAATTTATATGTCTTCTCCATTAATCTTCCAAATACCTGTAGTCCAGCTTTACTGATATTTTGTCCATAGATGGTCACTACAAATGTGACCTCAACCAGACTTAAGAGTGTGAGGTTGAGGATTTTCGTCATAAGACAGGATAAATCAAAGGCATTGGAAAGAGCCCTGTTCTTATTTAGGTATCTTTGCAGAGCCCAGAGGCCATCACTTTGAAAAGATCTCTTCTAGCAGGAAATGCTCTATATTCTGTTCTATCTATTTAATTTGTAGGATAAGAACATTACTTTCGGGTTTAAAAATATATTGCTTAATTCTCACATAATATCTTGTGTCATTTAATTAGAGAAAATGGTTTACCGTTGTAAGACAATGCAATTTCCAAACTGATATATAGTTTTTCACCCTGATTCTCAGACTCTGCATTTGGAAGGATTTTGCTGTTGTCCACTAATGATTGGTTTGAGGAATAGCATGAAAGTGAATCATTGAGGTGTTATCCTATCTATAGTAAATAAATATTCACAAAGAAGAAAGGAAAAACTAAACAAACATAGTACCCTAAATCTCATGTTCACAATGACAATTTGAGTACAGAATGACCTTGAGAATTGCGTATGGCTGCAGCCCAGCAGACCTGGGCCTCAGGAGTTTATTGTCTAACGAGAGAGGCAGGACACAGGCAAGTCCCCTACAGGGGGAGGAAACAGGGACAGACATGGGAGCCAGAAGAACCCAGAGGAGGATGCCTCTGCATGCCTTGCTGGTAGGTGGAGAGTGTCAGGATAGGATTTTGGAAACTATCCAGAAACCAAGTCCATAGTAAAGTTAGAATGTGATGCCCATAAATGAAGGAGTAACAAGCAGTCCTGGAGAAGACTGCTGGCATCTGCCAAGCTCACATCCTGTTAACACCACCTATAAATGTTAAGACCTTAATATTTGCATATTAAACCCAAGTATAATATATTCAATGAGATCTGTAAACCCTAAAATTATTTCTAGAGTTTACCCTGGTATTGCCACTGAATATCTTGACTTAAAATATTTCTTATTTAGTTAAATAAGGGTAATTTTTGGAAAAAGGATCCCTGTTATATTTATGTCTCTACCAAATTGTTGTTATAGATCTGTTTGTGGTTACCAACCACAAGCACATAAATGTGTGTCACTCAGTAGATACTTTCTAGTACTTGGTTAAATAATGGATAGACTTAGAGCGCTAGTTATAAGTAAGAGACAATGATGACCATGGCAATAGCACAAAGAACAATAATGACTTATTGAATGTTATACTTTGCTAATAGCTTTATAATGGTTATCTCACTTAGCTTGGAGATAAGTTGAAGAAATAGGTACTATTTTAAAAACAGCTTTATTGAGATGTAACTCACTCCTTAAAGAGTTAATTAGCTCTATTCATTTAATAGAGTTTCACCCTTTAAATTGTATAATTCGGTAGTGTTTAGTATATTCACAGAAATGTGCAAATATCACTAGAGTCTAATTGGAGACATTTGCATCACCTCAAAAATAAACCTCTTATGGTCAGTTCTCCTTCCCCTAATCTCCCCGTTCCCATCCTAGACAGTATAGGTTTGCCTAATCTGGCCATTTATTATAAATAGAAGCATACACTACGTGACCTTTGTGACTGACTCCTTTCACTTAGCGTAACGTGTTCAAGATTCATCCATGTTGCAGCGCATATCAGTACTTTATCCTTTTTTATTGCTAAAGTATACCACATATTTTATTTATCTTTCAGGTGATGGACATTATTGTTTTACTTTTTTTGGCTACTGTGAATAATGCTGCTATGAACATTTGTGTACAGGATTTTGTATGAATGTGTGTTTTCATTTCTCTTGGGTAAATACCTAGGAGTGTAATTTCTGGGACATATGGAAATTCTACACTTAACATTTTGAGGAATTTTCAAACTGTTTTTCATGTTAGTTGAACCATTTTCTATTGCCCCAGTAATGTCTGAAGGTTCCTATTTCTCCACATTCTTGCCAAACCTTATTGTTCTCTGTTTTTAAATAGTCATCCCAGTGAGTATGAAGGAGTATCCATTGTGGTTCTGATTTACTGCGTAGAGATTATTGGCTTTGGAAGAGGGTTCACTGTGCAGAGGTTAGCAACTTGTCTGAGTTTGGTGAGACAGCAACCCCCACACACAAGTTACATGAAGTGGGTTTATTACTTAGAGACAGGTAGAGCAACAAGGGACAGCAGAAGTCTAGGAATAATCACAGGCTGGTACACAAGGCTCAATACAGCTGTCTGAGTGGATGAAGTCTTGTCTCTGCATGCAACATGGCTGAGGCACCCAGGAAAGCAGCCCACCCTGGATTTTATACCTGGACACATGATGCGCTGAACAAGTTCTGCAGTTCAATCATCGCAACAAGTTCTACATTTCAGTCATCACATCATACTACAAGGCAGGGACTGCAACAGAGTCCAGGTTGTTTCTGCCCTTTCCTCCTATCTCATGATGTTGCATTTCCAGCACATTTTGCAGTCATTCTTGAGAATGGGAAGGAAGAAAGTGGGGAGGACTCAGTTGGTCATAGTCATCTGTAGAATTGTTCTGCATTGGTTGATGGTTTTTTGTTGTTTTACTTTCAGCACTTTCAATATGTCATCCTATTGCTTTCTGACGTTCATTGTTTCTGGTGAAAAGTCAAGTGTTTATTTCACTGTGGTTTATTATGCATATTGCATTACACATATGTTAGCATGTATACTTTGGTATCCATTATGCATATGTTGATATGTTTAATGATGTCCCACATTTCCCTGAGGCTCCATTCATTTTTCCTTCATTCATTTTTTTTATGTATTCCTTGTTTATCTTCAAATTCATTGATTTTATCCTGGCAGTTCAAATATATTATTAAGCCCCATCATGAATTCTACATTTTGTTTATTATACTTTTCAATTTCATAATTTTTTATTTATTTTAAAAATGTATCTTCATTCAAATTCTCTGTATGACATTGTCATCATGGCTTCCTTTATTTCTTTTTTCATTTTATTTTATTTTATTTTATTTTTTTGAGATGGAGTCTCGCCCTGTTGCCCATGCTGGAGTGCAATGGCACGATCTCAGCTCACTGAAACCTCAGCCTCTTGGGTTCAGGTGATTCTCCTGCCTCAGCCTCCTGAGTAGCTGGGATTACAGGTGTGTGCCACCATGCCCAGCTAATTTTTTGTATCTCTAGTACAAACGGGGTTTGACCATGTTGGCTAGGCTGGTCTTGAACTCCTGACCTCAAGCAACCCACCCGCCTC